GTAGACAGAGTTTTGTTCCTTCCCGTGCAGGGTGGCTGCGCAAATGCCCACAGTGCATTATGAAATGCCCAATGGCTACAATACAGACTATGGCGCTGAGCGGCTCCGCATCCCTGAGGGCCTGTTTGATCCCTCCAATGTCAAGGTTGGGCTGTGTAGAGGGCACTGGGTTGGGGCTACCTGTCCCTAGATACTGAGGTGTGGGGGAGGCTGATAAGGGTCACAGGAGTCTGGGGTCAGGGGGTGGTGTGGGGTGGTGTGGGGTGTGTGTGTGGGGGGTGGCAGAAGGCCCAAAGCCCAGGTCACCTTTCTCTGCAGGGTCTGTCGGGGAACACCATGTTAGGTGTGGGCCATGTGGTGACCACCAGCATTGGCATGTGTGACATCGACATTCGCCCGGTGAGGCCCAAGCCTGTGGCTGGGCAAAGAAGCCCATGAAAACTGGGCAGACAGGGAAGGGTGTTTCCCTCTCTGCTCACAAATCCTCCCTGCTCTCAGGGCCTGTATGGCAGTGTCATTGTCACTGGCGGGAACACACTGCTTCAGGGCTTCACTGACAGGCTCAATCGAGAGCTTTCCCAGAAGACCCCACCGGTAGGAGCCCACCTCCAGCCAGGGCCCTGGTGTCCAGTCCTGGCTTAGTCCTTCGGGAACAAGTTCTTCCTCCTTCCCAAATGCCTAGTGTTCTGGCCACCATAAAAGACCCTTCCCCCGTGACTTCCAAATCTTTCCCACCCCCAGTCCTCTTCTTTCCCAGAACCCAGCTGTCTGCTTCTTGCTGCCCTTCTTTCTCCCCAGAGCATGCGACTGAAACTCATCGCTAGCAACAGCACCATGGAGCGCAAATTCAGCCCCTGGATTGGGGGCTCCATCTTGGCCTCACTGGTGAGTGTGAGAAAGGGCCTACTTAGCCCTGACTGTGGGAAAGAACACCCCCCATCAGGGAGCATAGGGATAGGAACTTGGAGAGATTGGTTGGGATGAGATTGTGTTGGCTTTATGTGCCAGGGTGAGGCTCCCACTGTACTTATTTAGCAGAGAGGCGACACTGAAGGTCTGAGGCAAGGCAAGGTGATGGTCACAGGCATGTTTGGGAAGACTATGATATCTTTGGGGATCAATGTGTGAGTTGGATAGGGGAACTTGCAAGGAAGTTTTATTGTCCCAGAGTCATAGAGTGGGTAGCAGTGGTGATGGGGTAAGAGCAAGGGGCAAACAGAGAAGGAGGCAGGCAGGTTGGTTCCAGGGCAGTAGGTGGTGAGTTCAGTTTGGACCTACTGATAGGACAGAAGCAAGATGTTGAGCAGGGAGCTAGAGATGCAAACTGTATCTAGAGGGTATCAGTCACATAGAGGGGATAGCAAGGCTATGACAGGACCAGGAGGACATCCACTAGAGGGGAAGCCCCCAGGGAGAAAGAAACAAGGGTCAGAAAGGCAGGAGGCTGACAGTTAGCTACACACAGCTATTGTGGTCCTCCTGTGTGCTGGAAATGGACAGACAGCCTGATACAGTCCCTGCCTCCATGAGCAGGGATCATCTAGATGTTAAGACGATTAAACAGGAAGTCACAAAGTTTGAGGGTGCTCCTTTAAGGGAAGACCTCATCCAGTTCAGGAGTCATGAAGGGCCTGTAAGGAGCATTCAAACTAAAATGGGAAGACTGAGTAAGAACTCTTGAGGCAAAGATGGAGAAAGGGTACTTGGACCATGGGGAGAGGCAGGCAAGGCCAAAAGCAGTGGGAAGACACGTTTGGATATGAGTTTAGGAAGCTTACTTGGGCTCAGTGGTCTCAACTGTGCCTGGGGTTTGACAGAGTGGATATCAGGGGGTAGAACTGAGAGCTTATCAGAGGTCTGACTGACAAAATATGGATACTGGGTACAAGAGAGAAAAGAGAAGTCCAAGATGAGGCCCAGGATGCTAGCTTCTGGGAGCTCTGGTCAACAGAAACGTAATGTGAGCCACATAAGCAATTTAAAATTTTCTAGCATTAAATATTAATGATAGAAAATATACTTTGCCATATTAAAGAGAGTCAAAGAATCAGGTGAAATTGAGTTTAAAGAATATATTTTATTTAATCCAATATATCCAATATGTTATTTCAATGTATCATCAATATAAAAATGATTGCGATACTTTACATTCTTTTTTTCTGGACTTAGTCTTCAATATCTGGTGTGTATTTTATACATAGAGCATCTCAGTTCAGACCAGCCAAATTTCAAGTGCTCAATAACCACAGAAGTAGAAGATGAGAAAGACCACAGAAGTAGATTTGAGCCAGACCTGGGGTGTCTATTGACCGTGGACATGTTGAGTTTGAGGTCTTGAGGGACACTTAAGAAGAGGTGTCCAAAAGACAGCTGAATATTTGGGTCTGGTACTCAGTGCAGAGATCTGCAAGGGAAACGCGAGATTGGGGCAGGGTGGGGGTTTAGCTCATGCGCAGAAGTCACCTGAGTAGATGAGCTGGTCCAGGAAGCCTTGTTCTGTGAGCCAAGGAGAGAAATAGGGGCAGAACCAGGGATGCAGGCACTAACTTTCAGGCAGAGACAGAGCAATCATCAAAGAAAAAGGACAGTCTGGAATGCCTAGTGCAGGAGACCCTCAAGAGGCAAGTTTCAACAGGGGGTGGGGGTGGGGTGCCACAATGAAGGCCACTCCCTCACAAGTCAGGTGGTGCAGGAATGATGAGGGTAAAGGAAATATTTTTCTTGGGATGAGGGAGACTTGACAAGTTTGTTAAGGCCTGATGGAGTGATGAGATGGCTGGTGAAGGAGTGTATGTGTGTGGAGGGGGCGCGGTATTGGGGTTGACTGACATGGGGCTGTAAGCTCCACCACCCAGCTTGAAGATAGCGCCTGGCCCAGAGCAGACAGGTGCGCAATAAATACTTGTTGAATGAATGAATCAACATTATGTTTGAATGATATGAAGGGGGTTACTGGCCCTCTAAATATGAAGTAATTGGCGGAAAAATGGGGGCGGGGTTGTCGTTGCTGGAGGAGGAAGGTGGGTCTGAGAGGCTATATATAGATATCTCAATGTAATAAAATAGCCCAAATAGCCCAGAATATCTCAATGTAATAAAATAGCCCAGAAATAAACCCACACCTCACTGCCAATGTCGTTTCCCGCACGCAGGGCACTTTCCAACAGATGTGGATCTCCAAGCAGGAATACGAAGAGGGCGGGAAGCAGTGCGTGGAGCGGAAGTGCCCCTGAGGGTTCCCTTCCCCACTCACAGGCCCGTGGACAGCAGTGGGGGAGGGGGTGCGAAAGGGAGAAGAGGGCTTTCCCGCCGAACTCTTCAAGCGCAGATCGAAGTCCCCTAACCCCTCGTTGCCCCTTTCTCTTCCCCATCCCTCTCACATCCTCTTAGATTGTGCTGTTTCCGGGTTGAAAGGAGTAAAAATGTTTTAAGAAAAAAAGTTTGGCCACCTGAGGGGGTGGGGAGTGTGTGCAGGGGTCTGGGAGTTGGTTAGCAGAGGGCCACACCTACATGCATTCGTGATCCCACGGTGGACGCCCCAGCAAGGTCTGCCGGAGGGGGCGGGACCTCAGGATCCACGATTGCCTCAGGTTCAAAGGGGCCGCGATCAAGGGACGATCAACGCAGGGAGGATCACACAGCGAGGACCCAAAAGAGCCGTGCAATAAATCCTCCAGTGAGGAGCGGAGTTGGGGGGAAAGGAGCTGCAAGAGAGATGCTGCGTGCGGGGAAGGGCGAAGGCGAGGGCAGGGCCAGAGGGGTGGCCTAGAGTGGGCGGGGCGGAGGTGGGATGTGGGTGGGCGGGGTCTCTGGCTTCTGGAGAGGCAGTGCCTAAGCACCTCCGGACCTGCTACTGAGGTGAGCTGGGGTTACTCTGCTGTCTTCCCTCTCCAGGCTCTTAGCGGTGACAGGAATGAGGCAGGTGTGCCCCAGCAGATCAGAACTTCTCTCCCTACTTGGGTAGGAGCTGAGGTTTCCCAGGGGTGATCCCAACGCGAGGTCCCTGAGCCCTCATATTCCAGAGCTACTAGTCCTGCAATCTTTGGCGGGGATTGGGGACCTGCGCCCCCTGTCTGAAATTGTAGGTAAAACTTAGCGGTTTGTGCCCACGATGTGTTCCCCCCAGACCCAAAAGAGGAAGAAACCTGCGCGGTCCAAGTCCTTTGGTCACCAAACAGGCATTGGTGCACAGAGAGGGCCATGACTTGTCCAAGGTTACCCAGCTCTGCCCACGCCTTGGTTAGGACTCTATCCACCAATGCCTGGTGAGCCTTGACCCACAGATCTCTGACTCCAGGACTCCCATCCTGGAGTGCTCACTGATCCTGCCTGACTATGTGCTCCCACCATGCCTCTCTCCCCAGCACCAGTAGGACCTGAGACCTGTTCATTTCAGCCTGATTCTCATGAGACAGACACCCACATGACCAGACCAAACAACCAGGCCACACCACTGTGGCACCTTCAGCTTAGGATCTCACTGAAGCAGGCATCCAGACAGGGAGGGCAACTAATATGTTACAGGGCCTAGGCATTGGGCCTGCAAGCTATATGAGGAGGGGCAGCAGTTTTCATGGTGGGGAGCTAGAAAGGGGTCCTTGAGGACACTGGAAGGAGTAGAAGCAGAAGGGAGGTGGGGGCATCCTTATCTCCACCCTCCCCAGCCATTAGCCCCCCTCCCCCACTCCTGACGGGAACTCATAGTCCAAAGTCTGCGCCAAGGTCAAAAAATTGATTGTTTTGCAGGGAGGGGGCAGGAGTGGGACTGTGGAGGGATTGGCAGGGGAGGATACATCCCCCTGTCCTCCAGCCTGGGCTGGGGGGCCATGTCTGGAAGGCTGGGCTGAGGCCAGGGCTGTGCCCCCACCCTTGGGGGGGTGCAAGGAACATCTGAGCTCAGGCTGCCTGCCAGGGCTGATAAGGGGCCCTCAAGGGGCTCCCACAAACGGTTTATCACTGGGGGTGGGGGACAGCCTGCAGGACTCAGAAGGGGCACGAGCATGGAGCAGCTGTGGAGTCTACTCCAGGGAGCGGTAAGACTAAGTGGGGTTAGGGGGACACCTTAGGTCTCCTCTCCAGGTCCCTTCAGGCCCCTCCTAAACTCCAAGGCGGGCCCCTCCCTTTCCCACCTCAGTCTCTCCCCTCCAGACCGCCTCTCAGGACCTTCTCCCTTGTCTTGTGCTCATTTGACATCCCAAAGTCACTGACTCTATTACTGCCAGATCCCTCCCTGTTCCCCACCTCATTCCCCAACCTCATGCCCACTGTGACCCCCCACAGAAAAGGTTGTCCCCACGACCCTCTCAGACCATATATAAGCGTGTGGAAGGCACCCAGCAGGGGCGCCTGGAAGAGGAAGAGGAAGACAGAGAGGAGGAGGCCAAGCCACCAGCTCGCTTCTGTCCCATGGAGCTGAGGGGCCCGGAGCCCCATGGCTCTAGACCAGGGCAGCAAACCCTTGGACTCTGGGCAGCAGCTGGACGAAGAGCCGCTCCCTACCTATTCTTGATGGCCCTGCTGATCTTCACCGGGGGTGAGAGTCATCTGGCACCCACAGTGAAGGGATTGGGCTGGGGGAGATTTTTAAAGTCCAGAGGGGGCACAAGGAGAATCTCAATTTTGCCACCCACTAGCTTTCCTTCTGGGCTATGTGGCCTTCCGAGGGTCCTGCCAGGCATGTGGGGACGATGTGCTGGTGGTCAGCGAGGATGTCAACTATGAGACAGGCCCAGACTCCCACCAGGGCACATTATACTGGAGTGACCTCCAGGCCATGTTCCTGCGGCACCTGGGAGAGGGGAACCTAGAGGACACCATCAGGTAAGGATTGCGTTGTCCCCTTCCTGGCCCTCAAAAACCCTCATCCATTGAGACTTTGCCTCTTTTCTTCCTCACCCAGGACCCTGGTGTTGGGGTCCCCCTTCTGAGTCCTTCCACCTGCCTCCCTGGCCCCTGTTCAATGGTTCTGGGAAGGATGGCAGGCATTGGAGCTGAGAGGAGAGTGGGAAGTTCCTGAGATGAGCCTGTAGAGGGCTCAGGCTCTGAGGGTGGCACATTTGCGATATTTGGGAGCTGACTGAGAACCCTAGGGTCCAGATATGAGGTGAGACAGACCCTGAAAGTCTTGAATGCCACACCAAGGAGCTTGAATTTGACCTGTGGCAGCAGAAAGCTCTGGAGTGCTCTGAAAGAGGGTGTTTTAGGAAATCAGCAAAACAATCAAGGAAGTGCATTTGTGGAGAAGCCAATCAGACACAGACTGTGTGGGCCTGCAACACAGCACAAGCAGGCCAGCGTTTCTTTTGTCCTGATGAGGTCACCCTTCCCTACTAGGAGGGAGCTGCCAGGTAGGTCCACAGAAGAGATCATGCCACCAAGAGCCCTCTTTTAGGTCAGGAATAGTTTTTTGTTGGATTCTCTTGGGTTTTCTAAGTACAAAATCATTTAAGCTACAGTGAAAGACGCATAGCTTCTTTTCTAATGATGATATCTTTTATTTCTCTGTCAATTCTTTTTCTTTTTTAACAGTTACAACAGGTACAAAATACAAGAAAAATCTTTCTAATTCATGGCAGGTAAACCTGGGTGTGCTCTCTCATTTCTTATTGCATTGGAGAGGACATGAATTTAGGAAATGGTGACAGTAGATATCGTTATCTATTTCCTGGCTTTTATAGAAATGTTTTTATAATACTTTGTCATTGAATGTGAACTTCACTGCAGACTCTGGATAGCTTTTTAAAAGTGAATTAAGAAAATTTGCTTCTACGTTTAACTTACTGGGATTTTTTTTTTTTTTCTTTAAGATCAGGAAAGAAGGAACAATTATGGATTTTTTTTTCAAATAGTTTCCCAGAATGTACTGTGATGATTACTTAATTGTTCTTTTTTTTTTTTCATTTTTATGTACTAAGTTGTATTAATAGATTTTCTTTTCTTCATGAGATCAACTCTAAATTTGATCAAGGCATATTATTACTCTTTTGATACTGCTGGATCTGCCTTGCTGAAAGACCTTAAATCTGTGATATCAACGAAATGCAGGGCTTTTTTATTTTCTTGAGCAATACTTGGAAGTCTGGGTACAGGCTGAGTAGGTAGATGGTTTGACAGGTCTAGAGGTGATGTGGTGCTGTGGATACCATCAAAAGGCGGGGAGGCAAGAGGGTAGCGAGCAATGAAGCGACTCTAGGTTGGTTGGGGAAGGAAGAGAAACCAGGAGCTGATGATAGGCTTGGAGATATTGGACAGTCTGGAATGCTCAATGCAGTTGAAGAGCAGGTTTTATGAGGGTAAGGGAGTAAACTGGAACCTGAAAAGCTCTACTCAGTGGGATTCTGGAGCTTTTAAGATTTATCTGATAAACCGTGTGCTATTTATCTTGGAGTTTCTGGAGCCTACCACAGTGCCCAGCACTTAGTAAATGTTCAGTAAATCCTCAATGAATAAATTATTCCAGAGATGGAGTTCTGGGTAATGACAAGATCCAGGGTGAGGACACGAAAGTGGGTGGCTGGACTGAAAGTGACATTGATGAGGTCATTCATTTATGCAACAAATATTTTTGAGTACTTACTATGTGGCGGTTGCTGGGTTAAGTATCTGGTGGTGATATAGGAGAGAATAAAACTGTCTGGACCTTGCCTTCATGAAGCTGATAGTCTTTTGGAGGAAATCAATACTAAAGTAATATTCACATTCATGACTGAATATTACTAGGATCATGGCTTTGAAAGAAAAGTAAAGGATGTGAGGAATGATTGTAACCCAGGGAACCTGATTTAGACTGGGAAGTTTTCCTTAAGGAAGTGACAAGTTGAGACCTGAGGGGTGAGTTGGTTACCAGGCAAAGAGAAGGTGAAAGCATTTCACACCAGAGAACAGCATGTGCAAAGAGTCTGAAGCAGGAAGATGGTGGCCTGCTGGAGGAAGTGAAAGAAAGTTCATGTGGCTGTTGAGGTAGATATGGCTCAGGCAAAAGGGGCCTTACTGGCTATATGAACTGCTTTGGATTTTATTCTAAGAGAGAGAACTGAAGTTTCAAATAATAGAGTATCGTGATCAGATGTGCGGGGGGAGGGATTTTTTTTTAAGGTTGGGTGCAAAAGAATGGAATTGATCATACTCCTGAGACCACAGTATAGTTGCCTCACTAGTCAATGAAAGTGAAAGGGCTTTCCTGTCTAGTTTTCCTTCCCCATCCTTGAGCACTCCTCCCCACTCCCCTTCCCCATAAGCACCTCATCTAATGTGTTTGATGTGTGCCTTTAAAAAAAAAATTATAACAGTTTATTTGAGCCAAAACTGATGACAATTGCCAGGAAGCAAGATCTCAAATGTTTCTGATGTGTGCCTTCAAATACACCTGTGGCTTTGTGATTTATGTCATGTCTTAGTGCATACGTAGATTTTTAAATAACATGTTTGTATAAAATGCTATACATTCATTATTTTAAAATTTAAGCAACATGAAAAAATACAAATAAGTAAAAAAAAAAGAAAAATCACTCCAAGACTTACAATTCAGATATAGCCATCTTTAGTGTGTGCTTTTAATTTTGATACCTTTTTTTTTTAACCTAACAATATTTTCAAGGTCGATCTATATTGCAGTGTATATATCTAGTTTATTGTTCTTTACTATTGTGCAGGATCCGGTGTATGTCTCCTATTTTATGAAAGCAGTGATAAATGCAGTTTCAAACAGATGGTCGAGCTCCTGGATGGGGACTGGTTGGGGCAGGAGCAGAAATGATACTAAGAAAGCCACTAGGACCATGTATTGCAGTAGTCCTCATGAGAGCAGAGATGATGGGGGCTGGGACTAAAGCGCACATGCATATGGATTTTGAAGCAGTGCAGAAGCTTAGTGGACCATGGTGTGGAAAGAAAAATGATAAGCCAGATGCCACAGTCGTCAATGAAAGTGGACAAGTGCCCAAATGGCTCGAAGATAACAGCAGTGAGGAGGGACAGAAGACGTGAGAGCAGGATGGCATAGGCTTCAAAGGAAAGTTTTACTATAGGAAAATGGTCAGAAGTGTGAAGAATGGAGCCAGGAGCATGCCTCCACTCTAAGTCCAGGTGGTATGTGAGCCCGAGCCACCTTCGGAATCCCACAGGAGACCTAGCTTCTCAAGGGAGAGCAGAGTTTCACCAAGGCAAAGGGTGGGAGGTGTATTCACTAATGATGCTGAGGAGGGAGGAGTTTGTTTGCCATGGAGGGGGCACAGGTGGAGCAGGTTAACAGGAAGGCCATGGGGGAAGGGGGTGGCGGCTGCGGCAGAGGTGATATGGACAAAAAGGGAGAGTGAAGTGACAACAGGCCCACTAGTTAGGTAGTGGCTATGGAAGAAGACAGGGTGGTCTCCAACAATTCCACTGGAACCTTGGTGTAAGGTGTCTCTATGAGGCCCAGGTGGAGGATGGGGGAGATAGAGGGTCTTGCCTCTGCCCAGTTAGCCCTTTCAAAGAAAAGGGTTTTTTGTTTGTTTGTTTGTTTTTGTTTTTGTTTTTTGTGCCTGGGACAAAGCACAGGCCAGTGTGCATATGTATGAAGGTGGCAGTAGGTAGACTGGTGAGTTTGGCCTGAACTAGGAAGAACCTAAGGGATGGTGGACAGGACCCCTAGCTATTGGAAGCTAAGGTTTTAAGCAGAAGGAGGGCCTGGAGATGCTTAAGTCACAGTCCTGGTGGTGAGGAGTTGAGTGGTGATGGCGGGGTCAGGGACAGGCTTAGAAGCTCCTCACCACCTGGAGCCCAGGGCGACCCACGTCTCTGGCATCCTTCCCCCCTCCCTCCCTCTCCTCTAGGCGCCCAGAAGTCGAGGCCCCTCTCCCCTCCTGCTCCCCAATCCCACCTCTCCCCGTTCAGGCAAACCAGCCTTCGAGAAAGGGTGGCCGGCTCTGCCGGGATGGCCGCCCTGACTCAGGACGTCCGTGCTGCACTCTTACGCCAGAAGCTGGACCACGTGTGGACCGACACGCATTATGTGGGCCTGCAGTTCCCAGACCGGTGAGTACGTGGGGGACGAGGGGGCGAGCTGGGTGGGGGACGCTCACCAACCCCACTCCTCAGGGCTCACCCCAATACCCTGCGTTGGGTCGATGCGGCCGGAAAGCCCGGGGAGCAGCTGCCGCTGGAGGACCCCGATGTCTACTGTCCCTACAGCGCCACCGGCAACGCCACGGTGAGCGCCTCTTGCCGCGTCCCCTTTCCCTGGCGGAGGAGGGAAGCTGTGAGAGCATCTGACAATCTTCTCCATCCTCAGGGAAAGCTGGTGTACGCCCACTACGGGCGGCGGGAGGACTTGCAGCACCTGCGGGCCCGGGGCGTGGAGACGGCCGGGCGCCTCCTGCTGGTGCGCTTGGGGGTGATCAGCTTTGCCCAGAAGGTGAGGGTCCCTGACCGGGAAGGATAAAGCGCAGCGGGCAGTGTGCGGGCTGGGGAACCCCTGGATTGGATAGCGGCAAATGGGAAGCGTCTAGAAGGCTGTCAGAGGGAGAAAAGAAAGAACCAAATGCGTCATAAGAAAACGTTGGCGGGAAAGACTGCCCAGGCACTGCAGGAGAGCAGGAAGATGAGGGCCAGGTACTGCCCACATCTCTCTGTGGATCCACAATTGCAGATCAGAGGCCATGTCATTTCACTTTTATTTGTTTCTCTTGCTTTTATAAATCAGTTTTCTCTGGGAGAAAGAGTCCTTTAGCTCCTCCTTTCCCCAGGTGGCCAGTGCCCAGGAATTCGGGGCCCTTGGAGTGCTAATATATCCTGACCCAGCAGACTTCTCCCAGGACCCACACAAACCAGGCCTGTCCAGCCACCGAGCTGTGTACGGACATGTGAGTTGGGGGAGCTAGTAGTGCCTTCCTAGGGTCCCTGGGCTGCATCTCCTTGACCCACATGAGGCTAGCATGCTCTTTCTGGGAGTCCAGTTCACAGTTTCAGTGGGTACCCCTCTCCTCACAGGTGCACCTGGGAACTGGGGACCCCTACACACCTGGCTTCCCTTCCTTCAATCAAACCCAGTTCCCTCCAGTTCAGTCCTCGGGCCTCCCAAGCATCCCAGCCCAGCCTATCAGTGCCGACACTGCCTCCATCCTGCTGAGGTGAGCGGGCGTATGGGGACCAGGAGAGGACGAGGCAAGAGGAGCAGGGCGCAGCTTGTCCATATGGTGCCTTTGGGTGAACTAGAAAAGATGGCTCTTCTGGGAGAGCAGAGTCTCTTGCCAGGGCCCATTGTTTGATGAGTGGAGCTGCTGCTAGATATCACACTCACCTTTACTGGTCATCCTTGAGCAGGACACAGCCAGCACAACTGTCCAAGGCAAAAAGCAATAGGCAGAGGGTGGGAGAGAGAGTGAAGAGGGGACTTTGGGCTCTTCTGTAGCCTGACCCCTCTGCTACTTCCAACCCTTTCTTTCCCACCTCTCTCTAGGAAGCTCGAAGGTCCTGTGACACCCCAGGAATGGCAGGGATGGCTCCCAGCCTCCCCTTATCGCCTGGGCCCTGGGCCAGGCCTGCGCCTAGGGGTCAACAACCACAAAGCCTCCACTCCCATCAGCAACATCTTTGGCTGCATTGAAGGCCGCTCCGAACCAGGTGTGTTTGCTTGCATAACTTGTGGGATATGAGGCTGGAGCAGGAGGCCTAGAAGAGTGGGCCAGAGTAGTGCCCAGAGGAGGGAGGCATCTTTGGCTGAAGTGGAGGGTAGAGTAGGGGCTAGCAGGGAGAAAGGCTGGCAAATTGGGGCTGAACTGAGACTATGGGGGTGGGGGGGCGGCAGTGAGATCTCAAGGTGCAAAGTGCCCAGAGACAGAATGAGCCATTTTGTGCAGTAAAGAATTGTCTAGCACTGGAGGTTAGCAAGCGTAAGTTGGGTGATGTTATAACATGAAAAAGAGGTCAGATCAGGTAGATGAGCCTTTCAAGCATAACTAGGTGTGGATAGCAGTGAGGAATCAAAGTGGGTTCTTGAGCGGAAGAGTAGGGTCATGAGAGTAGCTTGGGAAGAAGAGTATGGTACCTATAAGCACTAAGAGGCACAGGGAAGCCTGTGATGAGGCTCAGATGAAGATGCGAGTGGTAGGAGTATGGGTGGGAAAGGGGCAGAGAGAGATTCAAAAGGGGAAAACCTGTCAGGACCTGGTGAAAAGCAGGACATGGTCAACCTGGGAGGTAATGGAGTCCAAAATAACCTCAAGCACTCTACGGAAGGAACAGGCCATACTGGCATGGGCAAAGGTAGGAGAGAGGCACTCTCTTTAGGGACAGCAGGAGTTGCAGAGATGTGAGAGGCTGAGAGATGGAGACCGCTTGAGGTTCTGGAGAAATAGTGGTGAGGCCCTGTGAGCACCTGCTCTCCCAGGGTGGAGGGAGAGGCCTCTGGGTACTGCCAGTATAAGAAGTGGACCCCAAACATCCCTTCCTCCAGATCACTATGTTGTCATTGGGGCCCAGAGGGATGCATGGGGCCCTGGAGCAGCCAAGTCCGCCGTGGGGACTGCCATACTGCTGGAGCTGGTGCGGACCTTTTCCTCCATGGTGAGCAATGGTAAGGTCAGGGCCTAGGCCGGGCAGCCAAGGCTGTGGCCTGAGTCAGGATGGGGCAGAGAGGCAGTTAGGAGCAGTGAGGGTGGCCATTCAGACCTGGCCTCCAAACCTGGCCACTCACCTCCTAGCTGCATGGGCCTGGGCTAGTGACTATATTTCCATTTCCTCATATAAACATAAAAGTAGTAACAGTCCATGGTTGGAGTGTAGATTAAGCAGGAGATTCCATATGGAAGCCACTTCCATCTCTGTTAGAGTTGAGTCAGGGTAGACCCAGGTGCGATGGACTTGGTTGGGTGCTCGATGAGAGGGAAGGAGAGGCACCAGGGGACCAGGACAGAAGAAGACAAAGAGGGGGGTGTCTTTGTTTGGCCTTCAGCTGAGCCCCTCCCTCCCTCTTCTGTACCCAGGCTTCCAGCCCCGTAGAAGTCTTCTCTTCATCAGCTGGGATGGAGGTGACTTTGGGAGTGTGGGCTCCACGGAATGGCTAGAGGTAATATGGGGTCTGGGCATGCAGCCAGGCAGTAGGGAGAAGTGTGTGTGGGGGGGTTCATATTCCATACCCCTCATCCACAGGGCTACCTCAGCCTGCTGCACCTCAAAGCTGTAGTCTATGTGAGCCTGGACAACGCTGTGCTCGGTGAGCAGGGGCAATGCCACCACCCGGGGCCTCCTCAGGTACACCCCTGCCCTTGGAATGGAGCCCTGAGCCTGGTGTCCCTTTCTGCAGGGGATGACAAGTTCCATGCCAAAACTAGTCCCCTTCTAATCAGCCTCATTGAGAACATACTGAAGCAGGCAAGAGTCCAGCCAGGAGCAAGGTATGGAGGGAAGCTGGGGATGTGTGTGGCCAGAGCTTGACTATGCCTCCTATCCTGCCCCCAGGTGGACTCTCCTAACCGCAGTGGTCAGACCCTTTACGAGCAAGTGGCATTCAACAATCACAGCTGGGATGCAGAAGTGTACGTTAAGACAATCAGGGAGTGGAGAAAGCTTGGGATGATGTGGGGGAAGCCCGAACCCACAAAGCACTGTAACCTGCCTCCCCCACCCCCAGGATCCGGCCGCTTCCCATGGACAGCAGTGCATATTCCTTCACAGCCTTTGCGGGGGTCCCTGCTGTTGAGTTCTCCTTCGTGGAGGTGAGACTCCCTGCCCCCCACCCGAGAGCAGCAGCCCCTCAGCCTGTCTGCACCATGACCCTGCACCAGCACCCCCTGTTCCGGCAGGATGGCCAGGTATATCCGTTCCTGCACACGAAAGACGACACATATGAGAACCTGCACAAGATGCTGCGGGGTCGCTTGCCCGCGGTAGCTCTGGCTGTGGCCCAGCTCGCAGGACAGCTCCTCATCCGGCTTAGCCATGATCACCTCCTGCCCCTTGACTTCGGCCGCTATGGAGACGTCGTCCTCAGGCACATCGGCAGCCTCAATGAGTTCTCCGGGGACCTCAAGGTCCAAGATACCAACCCCGCTCACGGCTTCTGGGGGTGGGGGTTCTATATACTCTTAAAGTGCTGTCTGGGCCAGGGGGTCTGATCCCTCTTCCCCCTACCCTCCTTGGGGTCTAGGTTCCCTCTGGCAACCTGCCACTTTACTCCTGCCCCAGTCATGTAAGCCCCTCCCAAACTCTCGGGTTTTGCCTCCCCCCAATCACACAGATCTCTCTCCCTTCAATATGCCCCCATCTGTTCCCCTATACCTCCCAATTCCTGCCAGGCCCGGGGTTGAGCCCCGTCCTCCAGCCCCTTGACCTCCATTCTAGGCTGGGTCCTGGCCCCTGACGCCGGCCCCAGCCCGCGCCTCCGCCCTCAGGCCCGTGGGCTGACCCTCCAGTGGGTGTACTCGGCTCGGGGGGACTACATCCGGGCGGCGGAGAAGCTGCGGAAGGAGATCTACAGCTCTGAGGAGAGCGATGAGAGACTGACGCGCATGTACAATGTGCGCATCATGCGGGTGAGGCTCCGCCCCTCCTCTCTCTCTGCTTGGCCCCTCTGCATTTGTTCCGACTTCTCTTACCACTTTCCGTCCGTACTTGTTCTGCGAGCGTTCCAAGTCCTGAATGCACAGTGCTCACAGACTGGCCAAGCTGGAGCAACCACTGAGGCAGGCCCCACAAAGCGATGTAATGGACAAGGAGGGCCAGTCCCTTGGCCACAGTCGTCCAGTCAACGCGGGGCAGAGCTGGGAACCTCCCCCCGCCCTGCACACACACACACTGCCTACTCACCCCTCTAGAGAGCAAAAGCATGTCCACGATGGTCCACGGGACAAGAGGCACAGAGCTATGGCCTGTGAGGTGCAAAAAGCTTAAGAAATTCAGAGCGTGGAGAACTCTCTTCCCTCTGGTAACGAGATGAGTGAAACCCGGACAGGCTGCATGGAAGAGCTGTCACATGAAAGTTATACTAGATCTTATTTCCTCACCAGTCACTCCTCCTTAATACTTTGCAGCCTGTACCCCATATCCCGTTCCCCTCCGCTTCCTTCCCGTTCCTCACCCCAAGAACTCGACTCTGTAATCCTTTGATCTCAAGAAATGGATGGGTATGGACTGTTGTCATGGGAAAAAGTCTATAGAGCAAATTAAAAGCAGGACCATCCTCAGTGAGTGTGGGGTGACTAAGGAACCTATAGTGTATGCACCCACAGTTTTGGGAGAACACGTCTGCCCCTTGCAAGTTCGTGTTCTTTCTTCTTTCTTTTTTCCTGCTTGGATCCCTGCCCATTTCCCTTCACATCACTCATTCCTTCCTTCTGTTCACAAACCCGTCCCTCTTGCTCTTTCATCCCTCTTGCTCTTTCTTTCTCCTGGTCTCTCTCATTGTTCTCTCCTCATTATCCATTATCCTCTTCTTCCTCCCCCCAATTCCAGATCTCTCCTCCCCCCGCCCTTCCCTTTGTCCCCTCCAATGAGATACCTGAGATACCAAGCATGGTTCATTCTCATTCACAGATCTGAAGTTCCCCCCGCAAGGGATAAGGGCTTCTGGCTGTAAGATAATGATTCAGACTCAGGCTGGAGAGGAAAAGACTCAGGACTTCAGAACCTGCAACATAGGGCTGGGCCAGACCCAGGGAACTTTGTGTAGACCAGGGGTTAGTACACTACAGCCAGTAGGCCAAATTTGGCCTGCCTTATGTTTTTGTAAATAAAGTTTTATCGCAGCACAGCCATGCTCATTGGTTTTCATATTGTCTAAGCTGCTTTTGTGCTACAGCAGCAAAGTTGAGTAGTTGCAATAGAAACAGTATGGCCTAAGAAGCCTAAAATATTTACTATCTGGCTTTTTGCAGAAAATTTGCTAACCCCTGCCTCAGACTGGGACATGGGTTTTGAACAACAAACAGAACTTGAGTTGGTGCAAAGAAAGAGGACATTTTAGGGTGGAGAGCCCCAGAATAAGGATGGGGCAGTGATTCTCCTTGTCAGCAGAGTGTGGACCAGCAGAGCTGGACAGAGGCCCTATGGAAAAGCTGAGGGGAGAGGAGCACCAAATAGAGAGTTAGGAACCAACTATGGTGAGCCTTGAATGCCAGGATAAGAAATATGAATTTTTAGGGTCTGGGTATCAAGGAAATTAGGAAATTTGAGCCGGGAGGTGATGATATCAGCAAAGTGGAGTTTTAGGAAGGATTTGGCCAGAATGTAAATGGCGTGAAAAGAGAATGAAATTAATAATAACTGAGCTCTGGGTGAAGGTGGTAGATGGCGCATATGCCACCTGTGAGTGAGGGGACCATACTGGTATAAGACATTTGGAAGGAAAATGGACAGACTGGGTGTTGAGAAAAGAGGGAGAGAATAATCATAGCAGCTGCCATTTCTTGAGGGCTACCATGTGCTAAGGCTTTATTTCACTTTCTCACAGAACTCTCCCCAGTCCTGTGAGGTTGCTAGTATCATATGCAGAAACTGAGGCTCAGGTGGGCAGGGTAATGCATCCAAGATCACAGTAAGCAATGGAGCTAAAATTAGAAACCAAGGCAGTCTGACCACAAAGTCTATGCTCACCTTACTCATACTTACCTTCAAGGTTAAGAGCATGGCACCTGGGGAAGACAGTGGTGTTCATGAGGAAATGTGGGTATGAGGGTCAGGTTTTGGAAGAAGTTGGTGCCCACATGTGTGTGTGAGGCTGTACCCAGGTGCCTCCTATCCCAGGGGAGGCCCAGAAGGCTGGAGGGCAGGATTCTAGTGGATGATTTGTTGAGTAGATTTGGCAACTATCCCCACGAGGTTCTAGTTAAAGTTAGGGGCATGGATGAGCTCTTTGAATGAATAACAGGCTTTAAAAAGATATGAGTGTATGAGAGCACCCCTAGAGGTTCTGGTTTTGCTTGGGTGGTGTCCAAGCAATGGTAATTTAAAAACCTTTCTCTAGTGATTCTAATTTTCAGCCAGGGTTGACAATCAGTGGATTGTAAATAAAAAGAAGAGCAGAAGGTAGAAGTTGAACCTTGGGCCTGCCCACAAGTGAGAGCAGAAGGAACCAGAAAGGCAGGCAGAAGAGTGGGAGGAGAACTGGGCTAAGAGCAAGGCCATCACAGGAAAGACAAACAGTATCTGTGTCAGAGGGTAAGGATGGAGAGTCAGGTACTTCATTAGGGCTAGGCTGTCCCCTTGACCTTTGACTCTGAGCTGTGGACATTGGTGAAAGTGGGGTAGAATGACTGGGGTATGGGAAAGTAAGGAACAACAGGATGATATACTGTTCTTTGAGGCTTTGGAGAGGGAAATGAATGATAAAGAGGGAAGGCTGGGGAGACCTAGATGCAGGCTTGGAGGTTCAAGGGATGGAAAGAAAGGGATCCAACCCAAAACAAGTGGGAAGGTGCGTCCTCCTTAGCTACCGGTGGTGTCACAGAGTGGCATTTCCTGATCGGGTAGCCAAAGGGAGGTGGGCCTTAAAGAAGCTGCTCACCATATTTATTAAGCCCGTGGTAGATTCCAACTTCAGTTTAGAATTGTTCAGGCCTTTGCTCTGAAGCAGAGCTCCAACCCCGACCTGATCTCCCGCTTTGCACAGGTGGAGTTCTACTTCCTATCCCAGTACGTGTCACCGGCTGACTCCCCATTCCGCCACATCTTCCTGGGCTGTGGAGACCACACGCTGGGTGCCCTGCTTGACCACGTGCGGCTGCTGCGCTCCAGTGGCTCTGGGGCTCTGGAGGTTGCCTCCTCCGGGGTGGCACCCGGCCTTGGCTTCCAGGAGAGCCGCTTCCGACGCCAGCTGGCCCTGCTCACCTGGACACTGCAAGGGGCTGCCAACGCACTGAGTGGGGATGTCTGGAACATCGATAACAACTTCTGAGGCCCGTGGGTGGGGGTGGGGGTCATATGCCCCTGCTCTTGCCTGACAGCTCCTGCTCTCCCCACTTGAGTGATTACTGGGTGATGTGTACCACCTCTTATTGCTGACAGATTTCTAATTAGCCCTTACCTGCTCTCCCTAGGGCCCACTGTAAACATCCACAAACCCCTGATCCTACAGTGTAGAAGCAGGTGAGCAGTGCCTTCCATAATGGACTGTGTACTGTCAGCTAATCAGAGAGCAGCAGCTGCTAGAGACCACCCCAGAAGGTTTCCTAGATCCCGGGACCTGGCCATCTCTCTTGGTGAGAGAGATGCCTGGGACCATAGCTTTATGGCCCACACGTGGCCTGTGGTAGGAGGGGCTGGGATTTGGACTTCAATAAACCACCTAGGCATCTGTTGTTTATAGCCACCTTTATACTTCCTCACCTACATCCCACCCAACCATCCCTCAGTTGAGACCTAGGGAGAAGTTGAGCAGAAGGGGCCAGAGAGGATGCAATTGAGAATGCTGTCTCCATGGGGAAAACTGAGCTGTTTCATTACCTAAGGAAGGAAATTGCCTAAGGAAATTAGGAGGACCCTTCAAAATCCACCATAGAGTGGGGAGCTGGCTCTGTAACTTCTCCTGAGACCAGGGACAGCTACATAATTTTTAAGGCCTGGTGCAAAATGAAAATGCAGGACCTTTTATTCAAAAAACAAGAACAAAGATTTTTTTCTTCCACAGTTGCTCAGTCTGTCATGGTGGTTTTTCATTTTCTATTTAATGTCCAGGTCCCTAAGAGGGAAATGGTCTGGGGCAGATCCCCATAGGCACCCAGAGTTCTGCCCCACAACTTGGTACAGATGTATCCAACCCTGACCCAGACCTGCACCTAGACCTGGACCCTCCCTGTTTCTGCACCCAGATTCCTGCGGGGGAAGGAGGGCGGCAGCTGTCACTGGATAGGACCAGAATGCCGGCAGGGGATAACCCATTCGAGGGAGGCAGGACTCGCAGCACATGCTCCACTGTTCCATCGGACTGCATTTCCAAAACATAAATTCAAAGATATAATTCTTAAGAATTTTTAGACAGTGACCACAAACCCCTAACCGCAAACATAGGACCCCCTTCTGAGCATAGGGCCCTGTGAGACTGCAGGGGTCACACACCTGTTAGCCCAGTCTGGGACCTCTCCTGCCAGGGTCCCCTTTGGCCAATCTTTATCCCACGAGCTGGAAGCTGCCAAAGGGTAAGGAATTACAAAGATAGCTTGTACCACTTTATATTTCATCTTGGTCTCAGAAGGCTGTAGCCCTGCTTCTCATTCTCAGGGCAGCTGCGGAAATCCCAGGGCCTGCCTTCAGGTTCTTTTGTCTTCTCTTATTCCCAGTATGGAGTGAGAGGTCCTACGCAGCTCCTCAGGTTGTGGGACATGAAAGCCTCTTAGTCTATGGTTTGGGATGTCCCAGTCCCTGGGGTTCTAGGATGAAACTACCCCCTCCTTAGCCTCTGAGCCTGACTTGGTGGGATCTCAGGAGACTGACCGGGGTCAGAACCCTTCTCAACTACTTGCTTACCTGACACAAGTCCAGAATAAGTTTTCCAGAGTGGCTTCTAAGCCCTCTTCACCTTGTCCATTTGCTCCCAGTAGTAGACAGAATAATGGTCTGGACAAACAGGTCTACATCCTAATCCCTAAAAACTGTGAATGAATGTTACCTTACACAACAAAGGATTTTGCAGGTATGATTAAATTGAGGATCTTGAGATGGGTGTTATGGGCTGAACTGTGTGTCCCCCAAATCTATACGTTGAAGCCCTAATTCCCAGTGCCTCAGAATGTGTTTGTATTTGGAAACAGGGCCTTTAAGGAGGTAATTGAGTTAAAATGAGGCCATTAAAGTGGGCCCTAATCCAATCTGACAGGTGTCTTTATAAGAAGAGGAAACTGGACACATAGACACCAGGGATGCTCACACACAGAGGAAACACTGTGGGAGGACACAGCAAGAAGGTGATTGTCTGCAAACCAAGGGAAGAAGCTTCAGGAGAAACCAAATCTGTCAAACGCTTGATCTGGAACATCTAGCTTCCAGAACTGTGAAGAAATAAATTTCTGTTGTTTAAGCCACCCAGTCTATGGCAGCCTAGCAAACTAACACAGGGAAGTTATCCTGGGTTGGAGGAGGGAGGACAATGTAATCACTACGGTCCTTATAAAAGGAAGCAGAAAGAACAGAGATAGAGAAAGATGTGACAACAGAAACAGAGGGTCAGAGTCAGAGAGAGATTTGTCAATGCTAAATCCTGGCTTTTACTTTCTTTTTCTTTTTTTTTAAACAACATTCGTTTGTTATTTCCACTCTTAGCTTGAAAAATGGAGGAAGGGGCCACAAGCCAAGAAATGCAGATGGCCTCTAGAAGCTAGAAAAGGCAAAGAAACATCCTCCCCTGGTGCCTCCAGAAGGAATGAAGCCCAGCTGACACCTTGATTTTATCCCCACAAGACTCATTTTAGATCTCTCACCCCCCAGAACTTTAGAATTAATTTATGTTGTTTTAAACTATGAAGTTTGTGATAAATTGTTAGAGCAGCCACAGGGAACTAATATGTACTCATTGCAACTGCTGCAATCTCAGTATTGTTTTCTAAAAAAATTTACATTAAAAGTCTGTCCTAAGCCCCTCCCATGCCTATAGCTGTGTCCCGGAAAGTCTTCTTGATCTCACTGGCAACACGGCTTTTTCACAGTAAATACCAGCATGATCATTAGTGTGTGATACCTCAAATGCATTTTGGGGACCTGGGCACAGACAGTGCAATATGAATGGTTATCACTCATACACATGTAATTTGGTGAGTTCTCTGGGCCATAGTGAGAGCCCTCCCCATACTCCCTGATACAGGCTGCAGAACCATTCTCTGCATACATCGAGATCACATCCCACTGGAGCCAGCTCTGGGGTGGAAGGGACAAGACTTTCTGGGCACTGGGGCAGCTCCCAAGGCCCCTAAGTAAAGCTGGAACAACTGATAACCTTCCAGGAGCATAACAGACTGAGTCTGTTTTAACAACATTATCTTCCTGATTTTTGTCTCTAATCAAAACACACACACACACGAAGATTATTCAGCCATAAAAAAAAAATGAAATCTTGCCATTTGTGACAATATGGATGGACACAGAAGGCATTATGCTAAGTGAAATGAGTCAAAGACAAATAATGTATTTCACTTATATGTGAAATCTAAAAAACAAAACAAACGAATAAAAAAACCAAACAGAAACAGACCCAGAAGATACAGAGAACAGTTGCCAAAGGAGTGGTGGAGGGATGAGTAAGAAAAAAAAGAATCAACTTTCCCAATTCCCTCATTTAGGAGGTAGAAACTGAAGCGCAAATTAAAGGACTTGCTCAAGACCACAGTTGTTGTTGTTTTTTTTTTTCATGCAGCCCTGGGAGTAGAATCCAGCTCTTCTAAATCCTCACTGGAACTCTTCACTGGCCCAGGCACCTGGATCCCCTGGGAATGAGAATAGGAAGAACTGGAGGGAAAAAAGTAGGAAGAAAGGGGCATGTTCCTATATTTCTGTTTAATTTTACAAATTTATTTTATTCAACTTGGAAAATGAATACAAATCCCTGGGTATTTTTTGCTGGGGGTACAAGGGGAGTGGGCAGGAAGAAGGGAGGGAGTGGGAGCCGAGGCAAGGTATGAGCATCACAGTGGCTGTCTCACTTCCACATCCCTGCCCCAGGAGAGGGGTGGAGGTTGAGCAGGGAGGTCAGGTCCGGAGGAAGACCATGGTGAGAAGGCCTGGAGAAGGGGAAAAGAAAGAGCAAGATCATATGAGCAGCGCTGGGGCTCTGGAAGCCTCTTCCCTACCCCATCTCTGGGGCCTGGCTCCCCTCGCCACTACTGTGCTCACCCAAGACGTAGGCTGCCACCAACTTTTGACCAAGGGAGACGTGCAGGATTTGGGGCAGCTGGCTGCCGAGTTCCTCCTGGAGCGGGAGCAGCAGGAAGGCCACCGAGACTATGCCCGTCAACAAGAAGAGGAGGAAGGAGCTGGTGGCCAGCTGTGAGTGGGATTCTGGGAAACAAGGCTCATCAGAGGCTCCAGCCTCCATTCCTACCCAACCCAAGGTCCTTCAGGGCGGAGGCTGAAGATGGAAGGTGTATCCACTTTTTATTGCCCTCCACAGGCAGATAGCAAGTGCCCCCTCCTCCCTGGAGCCTCTGTCCCCATAGCTGCAAGAAACTCTCCTTCTCTGGTTTCTCAGCATTCCTTTTCTCTTTTCACTCTGCCTGATTACTGGCTTCTGTGTATCTGTCTGTCAGGCAGGGACCTCCACCTCCCAGGCCCAGCACACAACTTGGTATAGCAAGCATTAATTGCTCAGTACAGGTTTCTTATTGAACTGAACCGAGCTGGCACATGATAGGAAGTACAGAAGTTAGAGCTAAGGAAGAACTTTTCCACCTAAGTAGAAGCCAGGAACCAGGGAAATTGCAAAATCTGCTTTTCCCTAGCTTGATAAAAAAATCTCAACTCCTAGGAACACTTCTACCAAACAGCAAAAGACTGAACCAGAAGACCCCTTCAACTCCAACTAAGTTCATCTCTAGGGTAATTCCAGGTCCTCCATCACTATGGAACTCAAGAATTCCCATCCTCCAACTCACTTTCCGGGAGGTGTCTGGCCGTGGGTGGTGCTGTCCAGGAAGAGGGCCCTGGGTGGGGTGTTGGGTCGGACAGTCCCTGAAGTTCAAGGGGGTATGCTGGGGCCCTCAGAACCGAAGTGATGTCTTTGCGCCCCACCACTCGGCCCTCAGCTCCCTCCTCAGACAGCTCAATGCGGAAGCGGTCCTGGACATCATAATGGCTGGGAATGGGGGCCACGTGGCGAATCACACTGGTCCCAAGATAGAAGAGAGGCCCATTGAGAGGAAGTGAGAGGCAGTGATCCAAGTGAATCCTGGCCCCACCCTCCTAGGAAACTTTCCCATAGGGTCGCAGCCAGAGAGTAGGGAAAACAGGTTGAAGAGGTCCAGGTCTGAGACCTAAGACCACAGAACAGTTATTCAGAGAAAGGTGGCAGTGACCCATCCTCCTCGCCCTTCTAACTTACATGTCAATGCAGGACTGAGGCTTCACATATCCTTCTGAGTCAAATACTGTGTATTTGGCAGGTGCTGTGCACAGAACTGGGAGATAAAGGTACAAAAAGCCCTACTATTGTCTCAGAGACCCTACAGAAGGCTTTCCCATGAAGGGACACTAGAGTGCCCCTTGCCTTCTACCCCCAGGGCTGGACATAACTCTTTCAGTCTGCCAAGTCTGGACACCTGACTCCTTCAGCCCATACAGGCCCCCAATGCCCTGCCGCCAGCCCCTAGATCTCAAGCATGAGGCGCCCATCCCTTCACCTCGGAAGCGAAGCGCAGCTCCCGTGGGGTTATAAAGGGTCAGCAGCTGCCTGGGTCCGCTCCGTTGGTCCGCCCTGAATACTAGATCCGGGGGAAAGACGAGGACCGGGACAACAGGTCCCGAGGAAGGAGAGGCGACCCGGGACCCCCGCCCAGGAGCCCCCGGACCCACCAGCTCCTGGTCCTGGGGCGCCCCGCGGCGCATGCAAGCTCTGGACGGTGGGACATCCGAGGGCAGAGCTCGGGGGACAGGGCCTGGGGTTTAGAGCTGGGGAGAGAGAGGAACGAAAGAGAACGGATGAGACCGTGGGGCAGGGCCTAGACTAATAGCGCTGCTGCCACCGCCGCCTCGGAACCTCACTTGATGAAGCTCCCGAAGGCCAGGCCCAGGCCCCAAAACCCTTCCCTTCTCCAGCTCTGCCGGGTTCCTTCAGGTCCTGCCCTCACCCCACCTCGATGGTCACGCCCACCCCGTAAACCCAGCCCCTTGCGGCTCCCAACCCCCGCCTTGTCTCTAGGCCCAGCTCACGTTCTCCATAAGCCCTGTCCCACCCAGCCTCCCCTACTTCCGGGCGTCCCCTGGGACTCCGCCCCCTCTCTCCTGCTGGACTCCGCCTGCCGCAGCGGTCTCCTAGGGAGCTGCCTTTCGTCTTCTGCTCTCTAGAGACCTGTACCTATGCTTCCAACCCCTCCCTGAGCTCGGGCCCGCGCTCCTCCGATCGCCCGCTCGCGCTACGATGCTCACTTTCTGGTCACAGCACCTGCCAATCAATTTATGACCGGACCTGGCCTGCCATCTGCCGGAGAGACCGTTTCTGCACTTCCGCCGTTTGACCTCTGTCATTGGCCAGGGCGGCTCCATTTCCGCCGTAAGTATACGTCGATTGGTGCGCTTCAAGACGTGATTGGCTTATACTAGTGACATAAAACTTTACGGGTGTCTGGCTAGATCTCTAGTCCTGGAGTTACCCTGGGAGACACGGGCAAGGCTGGGCGTGGGCTTTGCTCCTTCTTTCCCTCTCTGAGACTGCCCATATTGCTAAAATCCCATCCCACAAAGAAGTCCTCTTTCTCAACTTTGGTCCCAGGCTCTCCTAGAAGCCTCTGCAGTAACCAAAGCCGTTTTCTACAGTACAGTTGGAGATTGCTCCCAGCTGGACTTGGGTTTCAGCCCAGGGCTCCTATCCTGATTCTCTCTCTTTTCTGCACGGGACTCGGAAATCCTTCACGTTTGCACAGGGAATTAAGATTTACCAACCCTGCTACTTAGGCCATCATGCTGAATCTTCAAATCTTACAGATTGAGGAAACCTCAGCAAGGTGAACAATCTCGCCCCAGGCCACACAATTGGTTAGCAGTGGGGCAAAAACAGAGTATCTTATCAGAAAGTCTGCCCTGAGCATCCTGTACAATCCCCTTTTGTCTGCCATCTTAATCATGCTTTTGTATTCTTCATAGCACTTGAAGAGCTACTTGATGTTATATGTTCTCTGCTCCAATAGAATGTACTCTCCTTTCTGCAAGAGCAGGAACTTTGTTATATCTTTGGTGCCTAAAACAATTCCTGCCTTTTGGAATGAACAAATGACAGTAAGTAGGATGAACTTTGAGCTGAGATCTGATCGAAGTTAGGAGGCAAGCCATGAGTTATCTATAGAAGAGAATTCCAGGTATAAAGAATAGCACAGGCAAAGCCAGTGTGACTGGAACAGTGGTCGTAATGGAGACAATAGTCAGAGATGAGATGAGGTGGTAGGGAGGATGCAGATCACCTAGAGCAGGAGTCCCCAGCTCTCAGGCCGTGGACTGGCACTGGCCCTATGGCCTGTTAGGAATGAAGCTGCACAGCAGGAGGTGAGCAGGGGGCCAGTGAGAGAAACTTCATCTGTATTTGCAGCTGCTCACCAGCGCTAGCATCACTGCCTCAGCTACACCTCAGATCATTAGGCGTTAGATTCTCATAGGAGCACCGGTCCCTGGTGCCAGAAAGGTTGGGGATCACTGACCTAGAGTCTTCAAGCCCACAACAGGACTTTGGATTTTATTGAGACCAATGGAAAACAATGGGAGAGTTTTAAATTTTTCTTTTTAACAGTTTTGAGATATCTTTGACATAAAAAATTGTATATATTTAAGGTCTACAACTTGATGTTTTGGTATTGTATACATCGTGAAAAATCAGCACAGTCAAGTTCATTAACATATCCATCACCTCTAAATAGTTGCCATTGTGTGTGTGTATGTGTTGAGAATACAGGAGAGTTTTGAGCAAAGGGGTGACAAAATCTGACTTGCACTCTTAAAATATTCTTCTGTATAGTAAATGTCTGTTGAGTTTAATGAATGAATGAAAAGAAATCCCCAAGATGGACACCAAAACCATGGAAATGGAGATATGACCCCTTCTTAGTTAAGGAACATTTATTTGGATAAAAGGTGGGTTCCTAGGGCCAGGGGCTAGAGACTGGTTTAGGTCTTAGGCCTGCAACCCAGCAGCCAAAACAGGCTGGGAGGGGCACTTTCTTTTGCTGAGGTTGGTGAGGATCTGGTCCTGGTTGGGCCGGTAGAGAACCACAAAGCTCTCCGGAGGAAGGGTGGGACCTCCGTTCTCTTCTACCTGGCCCATTAGCAGATAACTGGTTCCTGGGGGAGGGGAGGGAAGAATTGAAAGCTTAGGTTATATACCTTGTAGATGTACCTCCTCATGTGAGTTCCTCAGATTCTACCACCTCTATCATTTCCATGAGGCTAAGTCCCCACCCCCAATTCCTCACATATTTGTTACCTTTCTTCATGGGGGGGCACTGCTTGCAGGGCACGTAAAACTTCAGGGAGGTGTCAGTGGGTGGAGAGGGCAGGTCCAGGCCTCCAGTTTTGTAAGCACCAATGAGATTGACAGTGACAGTTAGCCCCTCCCCTGGGCCCCTAACCATGGACTTCACTGTTGCGGTTACCACTGTAGGAGAGTAAAGGTGAGTGGTGAGAAGACAGAAGGCCAGAGCAGGGCTGGAACTAGAAGAAGGGGGCACTTTGGGGACAGGAAGGAAGATTAGAAGAGCTAGATGAGCAGAACTCAGGGATGAGGTTTCTTACCCAGGTTGCTGGTACAGAAGTTGCTCTGCAGGGTGCCTGTCCGCCGGCACTGCTTTGGGCAGGTGACACTGGGTACATCTAGGAGGGAGAGGGGGGTCACCGTTTGTAGAGGGTGACCTACCTAGCAGGTAGGAAGGATCACTTTCTCCCTAAGGGCTTAATTCATTCGAACTTGTTTAGAGTTCTATCCAGCTTTAGGTCCCAGCATCTAGTACCAGCCATTAGCACAGAGGTGGTACCAGTGAGTATTGTATGAATGAATGAATAAATGAATGAATGAATAAATGAACCCAGGAAGGAACTCTTTGATACAGTTGCCTCAGTCTGTGTCCCCTTCCTCCCCTTTCCCAGACTTACCAGGGCCCATCCGGGTGGCCTCAGCCTCAAGTGAGTCTTTTGATTTCTCAGTAGGTGGGGGCTCAGGCTTGACTTTGGGTGGGGCTCCGGCCTTGGGGCCAGGGCCAAGGAGTGGGGGACCTGGCTGGGCATTCTTTCCAGCCCCTTCTTTAGCGGCGCTCTGTGACAGGGTCCTGTAGGAGGCTGAGAAGCCATCAGCTGTGACACTGAGGTCCGAGACGAATTGGACGAGGAGTTCGTTTCCTTCGGAGAAGATGGGACTGCGAGTAGTGGGCATTAGGGGAGGTGTCAAGCGGGCTGTGCACCTTGCCCCTACCCAGGGGGGTGGCATTTTAACTTCTTCCCTTGGTTGGCTATATTAGCTTCCTGACTTCCGCAGGCCCAGCTTGCCTCTGAATCCACAGACCCTACCTGCTCCACCCACTGGTTTGGGGCTCAGGGATTCAGATGAGCTAAGTTCTGTCCCTCCCAACAGCAGTGAGGTCCTCCTTCTCCTACACCTGGGGAGATGGAGACTCCCAACCCTGCCAACCAGCCAGGTTCCACCCCCTCACCCTGGGACTGTGTCACCGCAGAACTTCCCCTGCCTCTTGGCGTCGTTGCTCACAGGTCCGTTGAACACACTGACAGAGTCATAGCGGCAGTAGGTATCGGGCTCCAGATCAAACTTCCCAAAGGTCAGCAAGATTACCTGGTGGCAGGGCAGAGGCGGAGGCTGCACAGTTGGGACCCTGGCAGGCCCGAGGGCACAGGAGCTCGGCACCTCTCACCTACTCCACCTACAGCTGCCTCTAGATGCTTGCAGTAGCCTCCTCACTCACCTCCCGCATCCTCTCACACCCTCCTCTTAAAGCATTCACACCACACCTCAGAGGATCACACACACCAGAACTCTGCAGTGGCGTTCTTCGCCTTCGTTGGCAAGGTCAAGTCCTGGCTCATTCTCAAGGAACAGACCCAGAATCCACTTCGCCATCACCACGACCACCACCCACCCACCCACACACACACACACACACAAAACTCGCGCTCTCTCTCTCTCTCTCTCTCACACACACACACACACACACACACACACACACACACACACACACACACACAGTTTATCAGCATCATGTACCTCGCTCATCACAGGTGTAATTTTACATTTTTTTGTTTGAGCACAAGCAGGCTGGGTCTGTTTTTGCTCTCTACGAGCGCAAGCTTAGTACTCAGGGCTTAGTGGATGTTCAATAAATCTTTGCTGGCTGCATGCTGGAAGACGCTGCCTGGGTCCCCGAGGGCAGCCCGGGCAGGGAGTCTGTACCTGGTCTGGGGGCGCGATGATGTGCCAGGAACAGCTGATGCCTGGGGGGTAATCGGACTCGGGCCAGTTGGGCGTAGTCAGAGTTCCCTGGGCCTTCTCCAGCCGACCCCCGCAAAACTGGTGCTCTGGGGAGGGGAGAGAGGAGTGGGGGTGGGGGGCAGTGGAGACCCTTGGTCAGCTTGAGAGGAGCTCTAGGCTGGGAGCTCGTGCAGGAAGCTTGGACGTCGGAGTCTCAGGATGAGGGGGCAAGAAGAGGAAGAGGAGGAAAGAGGAGGGTAGGTTAGCAGAGAGGGGACTTGGAGGAACGAGGCTCACGGAAGTTTTTGACCGCAAGTGCCCAGGCGGGCGGTGGAAGCGGGAGGAGGAATTGGCTGGACACGCCCCTTCTTGCCCCGCCCCTGACCCGCGGCCACACAGCTCCTCTTCCCCTAGGAGATCCCATCTCCCCCGCCAGGCAGAGAAGTTCCCTTTGCAGGCTGAAAAGTCCCCACACTGTGAGGGTCTCCTCAAATTAGGGCACAGCCCCCTAGACTCCTTTGGGGGAGGTCCCTGCCTTAAACATTTTAGGGGAGACTTCTGCCACCAGGAGAGAGTGATGGGACCGCAATCGGGAGCCCCGGGCTGGGTGTAGGGGGCTCCAGGTCAGGGGAACATGGTCCCCTATCCCAGGGGTGCTCCCTCGCTCCCGCCTGAGGGATCCCGATTGCGGACGGGGGCGGGCAGTTACTCACCGTCCCAGTAACCCCAGGCCGCCCATTCCACCCGTGGGTCGGTGACCCATTTCCGCCTCGCGCCTGGGGGGGGGCCTGGAAGAGGGAGTGGGTGGGAGCGGGAGAGGGGAGAGAAGACGGGGAGGAGGGACTGGAGGGGCAGTTAGTGAGGAAAAAGGGAAAGGTAGGTAGGTAATGGGGGGACCTAGGATCTTGGGGTGGATGTTAAGGCTAGGGGCGGGGCCTGCGCCGGGGCGGGGCACGGAGAGGGGGAAGTCGGAGGTGAGGGATGGTCTCACCAGTGCCTGAGGTGGCCCGCCCGCTGTACCAGAGCAGGAACCCTCGTCCTCCTGTGCCCTCATCAGCTGTCATCCTCAGGGTCACCTGGTTGCCAGGGGCGACTAAGGGTGCGGGCCGGAAGGTCCCGCAGAAGCGTCCGAGACGCCGGCCCGAGGTTCCAGACCCGGCAAAGACCTCCAGAGCATCATAACGACAGGCAGGGTGCAGCTCCAGGTCGAAGACTCGAAAAGAGAGGGATACAGTCTGGCCTTCAGGGACCTGATTGCAGTGGCAGGGGGAGGGACCCAGAGAGTCAGGCCACATATTATAACCCAGGCAGCAGGCACCTCCCTTTACCCAAGCATTTCCTACAGAAACTTGGGCCTGAACAAGAAGGAATTCCATCAGGATGCAGAGCAGAGGGCCTGGGCTCTGTATCAGGCTTGTGGCTTGTGCAGGAGACAAGACCTTAGGTCTGTGGAGAGCTTACAGGGGGCAGGAATGAGGTTGGGAATGGAGAAGCAGGCTTTAAGGGTTAAGAGTAAAGACACTTGCCACATATTATTGTGGACACTGATGCCATCAGTGACCAGAAAGGAGGGGCCTTGGACTTCCCCAGGGAGAGTGGTGGTGCTGGGGGAGGACTTTTGGCTGCCTGGATCCAGGCCTTAGAGACTTTGACAAGAGGGTAGTGACCAGAGGGGCCTTCTCACCGTTATTGTCCAGATGCACTCCTTACTGGGGGGGTAGAGGTTGGGAAAACCCTCACTTGCCACGTAACCTGACTCCCCAGTCACATCCCCTCCACACAGGAACACGGGTCTGGAGGACAGAAGAGGGGTCAGCCATGGGTGGGGAAGCAGCAGACAAGACTAGGGTAGGGTAATAAGGATAGGGAGGGCAGGGAGGGAAGCCTGGGGCATGAGGGAGAAAGGCCTAAGGGATCTGGGATGGCCTCAGCCAACCAGGATGCAATTGGGTAGGAAATACTATTGCAGAAGATGAGGAAAAAGTGGGGCCAGCAACTTGGCTATCCCTAAAAACCCCACCCCCACCCCAACAGGAATTCCCGGAATCCTCCTCAGCCCTGCTTCCTCACTCTCCCCCCTCACCCTGCCAGGCAGTCGGGACAGGAGCCGCCTAACTACTTCCAGATGTAGACACAGCCACGAGGCGGTGCGGGGGAGGGGGCGGAGAGATAAAGGAGAAGCAGCAGTGATGGCCCTCAAATTGAACTGGGAGACCAGGCTCCCTGAGCTCTCAAGCTTTGCTCTGCCCCTATTCCAGATAACTAAAGTATCTGATTCCCTAGTCTCCTATTCACTGCCCCGGTTTCCCCCCACAATCTCTAATTCCTTCCTGGAATCCAGATGTCTAGCTACCAGGCAAGTTCAAGGTATTGGTGCTCTCAGGTTCCATGAGGGGCCAAGAATCTGGGTGTTTGGGGAGGCATAGAGGGCAGAGGACAGAGGCTGAAAGAATGGAGCGCTTGGTGACCTGCAGGAGACAGTGGTCTTGCAGGAGGGAGGGAGGGACTTGGGGACCAGAGAAGGGTAGGGGCTGCAGATCTCTGGGGTGATATGTTAGCAAAAGAATCCACAAGATCCATAGGCATAACCCCCCAAGAATTGGCTTCTGAAGCTCACTCAAGCTAACTAGAAGGTGCTAAGAGAGACCTACCTGGTATAGTTGGGGCTCTGACCCTGGGTGAAAGGCAGCAGGGCCCAGACAGTGAGGAGGGGCCCCAAGAGGGAGGTTGTGGCAGCAGACAGCATGGCTGAGGGGAGAGGCGCTGGGGTCCTCGAGACAGAGGCAGCAGCTGAGTTTAGCAGCGGCAGCGGCAGCAGCAGCAGCGGCAGCAGCAGGGATAATCAGTGCCAGATGAGGCAGCCTCGGGTGTGTGGGCGTGGGGACTGGCCAGTGGGGAGGGCGGTGGGGAAGGCGGGACAGGGAGAGTACAGCTGGGACAGTGGTGAGTCCAGGGGCCTCTCTAGGTCCAGGACACATAACTATCATCTAAGGAGTGGGTGGAGCAATGAAGGGCTGAGGAAGCATCAGACCCTCTGCCATAATCTAGGCATCAAGTAATGTCATCTGGAAGCCCTCTCTGTCCAGTGCCTAAGCATCCTGTGAACACAGCCTTTGGTCTTTCTCAAGGGCTCTCCAGCCCAATCATGATCTT